TCTTTGAATCATTTACTTCACAGACCGATGTAAACATCAAAAGCATCACTTCAAACAATAAAGTTGATCCATTATATGAAAATATCTGGACACGACCTCCAAAACTACACTACGAAAAATTGTAAAAAAAAAATTGTAATTGAGTTTTAAATTTAATATAATTTTACACCTGATGATGGTCTAATAAAACCGAAACATGTTGTAACTGTTCCAATTGTAAATCGATTATTCGATATGGAACACAGAATGATATTTTAATTATTTTAATTATTTTAATTATCTTATTTTAAATACATTGTGATTTGACGGAATAACCAAATAATTTAATTTAAATGTTTAGGAATTGAAGGACGATGTGCGATCTGAGTGCGATAAAATTACTGGGGACATCTTGCGGCTAGTTCAAGCAACTGTTCCGTGACTGGAAGTTGGTGGCCAACATTTTGAACATTTGCTGAAACAAAGATGATTCGACGATAAACTCTTTGGGGCGCTAGTTTTTTGGGCAGCCTGTACACGGAGCGGCTGGGAGTTACAGATCTCGGAAGAGAGATTCAGTTAATGTGTGCAAACCGTAAATTGTAGCTTGCTGAAAAGGAAGGGAGGCTTTGTTAACATCATTAATAATAATAATAATAATAATAATAATAATAATAAATTAAGGTAAAGGCCATATACACTAATTTCAAAGCCATAGAAGTTTCTGTAACTGAATTTGAAAGCAGTCATTAATCCAAGTTACCACGTGCTCCGGTTATACACGTGGAGTGTAGGTTTGGCAGGGAGTTCTGGCAAGAACACGGAAGACCACAATCCACTTGCTGACGGCCGTGTAAACCTCTAATCTCTCTCGTGTAACGAAGTTTACAATCAGGCAGTAATAACACGCAGTTTAGCTGGCGGGTTAGTGTGCTGGGCCCGTGCTTAGATGATCATAGTAGCATTGAATCCCCACTCATGCGCAGAATGTTGTTTGAAATTTATTTGATAAATTCCATAATTATTTGTTTAAAAACACTAATTATTTCACGTTTAAAATGTACCCACATATGATATATGTTTTAATGACAAATGTTTAATCGTACTGTACAAAATGTTGTTTATATAATTGTAATGGCGATGAACCTCAAATTCTACATAATTGTAATGATTATTATACCGATTTATCTGGGGATAATTTTAATTGTTCGTAAAAATTAAGTTCTTCACAGTCTCAGCACGCAAGTGATATTGCAGTTGGCACGGGAACTTACAGCACGTGATACATAGAAGCATAACAGTTCTCCTATTCGCGTGCAGTCTAGTGCAAAGATGTATACGAGGTGCGATCGGAAAGTTTCCAGACATCATGACAACGCCCTCAAAGTTCGGCAGTTTTTGGGCTCAAACACCATGGCCGTCATCCCGCACCCTCCTTATTCGCCGTGTGACTTCTTCCTCTTCCCAAAGATGAAAATTCAGCTAAAGGGAAGGAGATTTGAGACGATAGAAGAGATTAAGGCAGAATCGCAGATGGTGCTTGACAGGCTGACAAAGAAAGATTTCCAGGGATGCTTCAAGGCTTGGCAGCGGCGCTGGGATCGTTGTGTTCACTCCCAGGGGAACTACTTCAAGGGTGATGGATGAATTTAATACCTGAGATAAGTGTACGGGTTGTTATACGCGCAGTCTGGAAACCTTTCGATCGCACCTCGTATCGCACGCAGCTTATGAAGGTTTGGCAGTCCATTATATACTGGCGTATAGTCTGATATATGTATTTTTTTCCGCGACCCGAATTAACTTTGAGTTAATATTTTCTTGCAAAAAATAATTAACCCGAGATTCCTCGGTATAACCAGGGAAGTGGTTAAGTAGACGCATAGATTCTGTGTATGTTAAATTGTCGGATTAGGGCTTCATCCCAATATTTCGTACCATTACAGTTTTTGTCAGTCGTCGTGTGTAGTTTATCGTACGAAATCAAGATGTGAGGTTATGGTGTTCTCAGTGGCATGACGTTTACATGAGATTTGCGTAAAGTGGTTCATACGTTGGGACACACACATAGCCTGACAATCTAATGATTTTGTTTTACTTTAGAATTATACCCTTCTGCACTCAGTATTCAGTAATTACCAAGTCGGTTAGCCGATTATCATATGCGAGCAAGGACTCTTCGTATACTTGGCTGTGCAGTTCTGCAAGCTACCATCCAGCGATGACAGGAATCAAGATGCCTCCTACATTCATTGCTTTTACTCAGACACGTTACATTGTAACTCATAAAATGTAACCTGAAACTGATGTATATAAATTTTAAACAGGAAGTAAATTAAAATTACTAGTCATTTTGGAAAAGATATATTGGCTAGAGACTGTTGGTTTGTAAGACTTGAGGTTCTCACAGCGGTGAGTATGAAGATTTCTGTCTTCTGGGTTGTTGCGCTGTGTAGTCTGGTCGATGTTAACCAACGTTTCAGAGGTCATACTGC